TTTGATTTCTTTGTATGTATGGATCACTTGGGTTGTTACCGACATCTGGTGAAAATTTCATGTCATTAGTACCTCTAGTAATATGTTTACTGAGAAAAATGTTGACGTGTTCAATACTTATTTTACCCGCTGTATATAACAATGAACTTGTGCTGTTTGGTGTTTTTTGGGAATCTGTTTACACAAGGGAGAAAAAAAGTACAGATAAATGCATGCATATGGGTTAAATTCTGTGCTTAAATCAGCAAATAGTGAAACAATCAAACCTTTGTCATTTCAGATGCGGCCCCCTAATTGATTTGTGTCGGGGGCCTCATGTGAGACACACCGGAAAAATCAAGGCTCTTAAAATCCACAAGGTTGGGCTTTGTTAACAGCTGCWTGTTGTTATTGTATATATTTAGTTTGTTCCCACTTCTGGAGCAGATTTCCCCTGTGTTTCACTCTCAGGGGGATTTGCTGGACTTTAAAAGAAAGATGAAAGTTAGGTTTTTTTTCTCTCTCTCTCCCTTTGTACTGCGCTAGAATTCTTCTACCTACTGGGAGGGTAAAGCAGACATGGAAACCCTCCAGAGGATCTACGGAATCTCCTTTCCTGACCCCAAAATGCTCAAAGAGTGGGAGAAGTTTCAGGAGGAGGCCAAGAACAGAGATCACCGCAAACTGGGCCGGGTATGAGCAGAAATGTAAAGGAGCTGTTTGTAAGGAAAAGTTTGAAGTCATTACCTGAAAGGGTTTCTGGTTATAAAGAGGGGTTATTTATGGTATGTTGGTATCGTCTGAGCTGCAGAGCACATGCAAGTTGAATAAATGAAAAAAAAAAATGTTAGAGCTAAGATTATGCAAGATCATATTTTTAAAGAGTGTTTCAAGGTTTTTTTCGTATAAAAGTAGTTTTCATGGTAAATTCAAGCTGCATTGTAACATGTATTAATGTTACATCAGATGTTAAGGTACATACTTGTTAGTAATTTTCCAATTTGTGCTGTTACGCTTAGGTAATTGCAGACACATTGTGCCTAACTGCATACATACAGGGTTTTTGATTAATAAAATAAATAAATAAAATCCTTAGCATTCACATGACTGTTGATCATGTGAAAAGGGGGAGTTGAAGAAATTATTGGGGTTCACGTTACATACTGATTTAGTTACACTACACATAGTATAGTTTGTTTTATGATAGAACTGTAAGGACTGTTAAATGTGACTTTTGATTAACTTGATGATTCTATTAATAGTTACATGCCTGGGAACAAATTCAACACATATTTGTACTTTTAAGATCATTAGGATAAGTTTTTTAATTGTTCGAGGGCAGGGCTTCGACAGAATGACAGGCCCCACCCCTTCACTGATGACGTAATCAATATAGGCGGAGTCATGCGCTGAAGCTTTTGATAAAACTCTTGGTATTTCCTGAGCGCTCTTGATTTTGTATGGCTSTTCTTTAAGACTCAATGCATTTGCACTCATCCTGGTAACGAACACGAAAACACGTATTTCTTTCATATTGGTAAACAATTTAAAAAATGTGTCAATGATCTGTTTGTTGATGCGTTTGTAATTATGAGTAATGGCACTGGCATTCTGTTAAACTTTTTTTTTTCAAGTATAGTTGTTAAAAAGTATAAATGGGTGTGTTCTTGTAGTTGTTTAGTCATTGTATTCCTGCTTGTGGAAAAGCAAGCTGAGCAGGAACATAAGCAAATCCACGGGCAGGAATTAAGATGTAATGAGGTTCTGCATYATCTTCAACAAAAAACCAAAAAATTAATCTGTGTTTTTCATTTTCCATTTACAGCAACAAACTTCTTACATTCATTTATCTTTTTAAATTCAGGAGCAGGATCTGTTCTTCTTCCATGAACTGAGTCCAGGCAGCTGCTTCTTCCTWCCTAAAGGGGCCTTCATCTACAACACGCTGATTGAGTTCATCAGAGTGAGTTYGAGCTGTCAGGCCCACAGAGGATAATTGCTTTGATCTCACTCCAAGCTCTCAGGGGGCAAGCAGAAGTCGGGGGTATAAGGCAGAAAGTTTACTTTTGCAAGCAGACCTGCAGAGAATAAAATGAACAGATTTGTGTATTAAGTTGCCTCCAACTGAAAATGTTATAATATGTAGTATAAAACACAGTCCTAATTTTTGCAATCTTATAGTTGGTAATAAACAGATAATTTACAGAGGTCTCAAACAGCTGTTTGATTTTAAATGGGAAATGTAGAAAACTAATGGACAATGATTTTTTTTTTCAAACATAGATGGCAAAAAATAAAACGGCTATAAAATATGTAGGTCCATTTATTTAATTGTTACCAAAGCATTTATCAGTTTTGCAGATCATATACAAAAATCTGAATCTGTTTCTTTGCATGTTGATCAGTAAAAAAGGAACAGTTATTCTCATAAATCACAAATTACAGTACTTAATTTAAAATCAATTATGCAAATTGTCATTACAGCAAACAATAAAACGAACAAAGTGTTCATAAGAGTGAATACATATGTTCAGACAATTACAACCTTCCAGTAATGGTGACGTGTTCCTATTTGGATTAGCTGTTTTCTCATCAATCTAATCTGAATTAAACTAGATTTTTCCGAACTAATTCAGTTCAAAGAGTTATCTACAACAGGTAAGACGCTAATTGTTTATAACCTTTCCACAGAACTTTGAAATATCTCTTGAAGCTCCCAGTTATCCCGTCTCATCTAAAATGTAATCATCGTCTTCCACCTTGACACGAGCTCTGCTCAGACTCTGTCCTGGCTGCAGCTCTGGAGGTGAACAAAGACTTTTAAAACGTGTAAATCAAACACATGCAGCGGCAGTAAAGAAAAACTCCGCTGCTCAGTTACACAAAGCAAAAAATGGCTTTTCGGATCTTGGTTTTCAGTGTGTGCAGCCATAGTGGAGAAGGCATTGGGAGCAATTTCACTTTAATGTGGATAAATGGATTTCTAACTGAGAAGATTTTGAAGAATGAGAATGGGTTTTAACAGACTTTCTGCCTGCATGGGATGAAGAAAAAAACATTTCCACTCAGTAACTGAAAATAAATGATCTGTTGCACAGGCTTTTATTTGATCACTATTTTATACTCATATTTTTGATTTTTAAAAGTAATACATTAGACAGAACAAGCCAGTGAACATTAAGATAAACT